AATCTTATTTCTTGCTTTGAATCCAGTTTAGGTCAGCAAGGTGACTCAGCACCTGTGGTCAGTCATTCAGAGACCCCACCCCCCCAACTCCCTATCACCACCACTTTCAATCCATGACCTTAGGTTTTCTGGCATCTAGCTGGTGAATACAGAGAAGGTGAAGATGGAACCAGTGTTTTTCGCTATCTTGGTCTGGAGGTAACACTTATCACTTCCATTCACAGTCCCTTGATAAGAACTGGCTACGTAGCTCCATCCAGGTGCAACAGTGGTGGAAAATATAGCTTAGCTGTATACCCAAGTAGCTAATAAGTTTGGTGAGAAGCTAGCTCATCTGCTTCAGTCAGTCTCCTCATTTGAAAATGGGAGTAATACTTTCTAACTCGGTTGCGGCCATGGCTCCTGTGAAAAAGCTTGTGGCGAAGCGGGCAAAAAGAAGAAGCAGGTTCTGAAGTTCACTCTTGATTGCACCCACCCTGTAGAAGATGGAATCATGGATGTTGCCAATTTTGAGCAGTTTTTGCAAGAAAGGATCAAAGTAAATGGAAAAGCTGGGAACCTTGGTGGAGGGGTGGTGACCATCGAAAGGAGCAAGAGCAAGATCACCGTGACATCTGAGATGCTTTCTCCAAAAGGCATTTGAAATATCTCACCAAAAAACATTTGAGGAAGAATAATCTACGTGTCTGGTTGCGCGTGGTTGCTAACAGCAAAGAGAGTTATGAATTACGTTACTTCCAGATTAACCAGGACGAAGAAGAGGAGGAAGATGAGGATTAAATTTCATTTATCCAGAATATTTTGTATGAGTTCTTGAATAAAACTTGGGAACCAAAAAAAAAAAAAAAAAAATTGGGAGTAATAGCTTCTGCCTCATAAAATTGTTTCAAGGGAACAACTAGATAGCTCATCAAAGTGCTTAGCATGGTGCCTCATCCATAGTAAGTGGCTCAATAAGCACAACAAATACTTTTGACATCCATAAACAAATTTCTAGTCAGAACTAATACCTTCGTGGCATTCTACTCTTTCAAATCTTTTAATAGCTTCCTATGTTCTTTGAATAAAAAATAAATTATTGACCAGGCTCTCTATCATCTGGCCCCTGCCTTCATTCCCAGTCTCTTTTCCCACCATTCATCCTTCACACGTACAACCTGGCTTACGCCGGCCTTTCTATGGTTCTCAGACCAACCCCTTTCCCACTGTAGGGTCCATGGTCCCCTCTTGAAATGCGTGTGCCCCAGCTCTTCACATGAGTGATTTGCTTTCATCATCCAGCTCTCATCTCAGGTATCACTTCCTCAGAGAGTCCTGTTCTGTCTGTCCTATCCAAAGTGGCTTCCTCACTATCTTGTCTTCTCTTGTTTTTGTTACCACAATCTGTAACACTTTTTAATTTATATTTCATTATTAATTGAAACAATTAATATATAATAAATAGAGATGGGATCTCGCTATGTGGACCAGGCTGGTCTCCAGCTCCTGGGCTCAAGCGATCCTCCCATCTTGGCCTCCCAAAGTGCTAGGATTACAGGGGTGAGGCTGTAATGCTCTTCTTTATTTGTTTACTTGTTCATGATCTTTATTTTCCACCAGAGCTGTTGGCTCCTTGAAGCCAGGGGCTTTGTCTGTTTACTGCTTTATCCTCTGCAATGAGAGCTGCAATGAGGTGTTAAAAACCTGATGATTGACTGATGAATAGGTGAACAATTTTAAGATAAACTGGAGGTATTCTCTTTGAGTCTTTCACATTACCTATCAACATATTCACATTTCCCTATGATTATTTCCATATCCCCTTCTACGTAGGGTTCTAGCTCTAGCCTTCCTTCTCAGCCAAGCTTCTTGAAAGCACAGTTTACACACCATGCCAACTCCTTTTACTGCTGAACATATCTTCCTCTGGCTTCTTCCCCTTCCTACCATTCCACAGAAATTATTCTTGTTATGGGCATCCAATTTACCAAATCCAAGGCCTGCTTCTTGGCCATTACCTTACCTCGCTTGTTTTCTTGATGCTGTTGAGTATACCTTCTTCCTGAAACTTTTCTGCTTTGACTTCATATTCCCATAGATACCAGTATATAGCAGTGGTTTTCAACCAGGGATAGTTTTGCTGGAGAGGTGGGGGGAGCTATTGGCATCTAGTTTGTAGAAGCCAGAAATGCTGTTAAACATCCATCCATCTTCAGCAAAGAATGATCTGGCCCAAAATATCCATAGCACAAAGCCTAAGAAAACCTGGTTAACAGGATGTCCTCCAGATACTTCATGAACAACATGGTCATGTTCAGAAATAAATCACTACCTCTTTTCTCACCTACTAATTTGTTACTTGTTATTCCTAATCTGATTAATGATATTTATCTTATAAACTAGTATCTCTAATATCATTTTCAATTCCTCCCTCTCCCTCATCAGGCCCATTTATTAGTCACTAATTCCCTTTTGATTCTGTCACATAAATATCTTTAATCCTGTCTTTCTCCTCAGCTACCACTCTTTGTATTAGTATAGACATTATTTAGCTTGCAAGAATCTCCTAAATGCACTCCCTGCTTTGAGTCTTACAAACACCTCCAACTCATTCTCCTCAAGTAATCTTTCTTTTTTTTTTTTTGCATTTTCTTTATTTATTTTATTTTATTATACTTTAAGTTCTAGGGTACATGTGCACAACGTGCAGGTTTGTTACATATGTATACATGTGCCATGTTGGTGTGCTGCAACCATTAACTCGTCATTTACATTAGGTATATCTCCTAATGCTATCCCTCCCGCCCCCCACCCCCACCACAGTAGGACCCGGTGTGTGATGTTCCCCTTCCTGTGTCCAAGTGATCTCATTGTTCAGTTCCCACCTATGAGTGAGAACATGCGGTATTTGGTTTTCTGTTCTTGCAACAGTTTGCTGAGAATGATGGTTTCCAGCTGTATCCATGTCCCTACAAAGGACACGAACTCATCCTTTTTTATGGCTGCATAGTATTCCATGGTGTATATGTGCCACATTTTGTTAATCCAGTCTGTCACTGATGGACATTTGGGTTGATTCCAAGTCTTTGCTATTGTAAATAGTGCCACAATAAACATACATGTGCATGTGTCTTTATAGCAGCATGACTTATAATCCTTTGGGTATATCCCCAGCAATGGGATGGCTAGGTCAAATGGTATTTCTAGTTCTAGATGCTTGAGGAATCGCCACACTGTTTTCCACAATGGTTGAACTAGTTTACAGTCCCACCAACAGTGCAAAATGTAAAAGTGTTCCTATTTCTCCACATCTTTTTTCCTCCACTTTTTTTTTTTTTTTGACGGAATCTCGCTCTGTCACCCAGGCTGGAGTGCAGTGGCCCAATCTCAGATCACTGCAAGCTCCGCCTCCCGGGTTCACACCATTCTCCTGTCTCGGCCTCCTGAGTAGCTGGGACTACAGGCGCCGCCACCACGCCCGGCTAATATTTGTATTTTTAGTATTGACGAGGTTTCACCTTGTTAGCCGGGATGGTCTCGATCTCCTGACCTCGTGATCCGACCGCCTCGGCCTCCCAAAGTGCTGGGATTACAGGCGTGAGCCACTGTGCCCGGCCCTCCTCAAGTAGTCTTTCTAAAATGGAAGCTTGGTAACATTTCTCCCATTGCCTACAAGAAAACATTGAGCTTCCAGGTCTCATTTACCATACATACCATGTGTTTTATTGTCTACAGATCTGCATTCTGTCACTATTCTTTCTAATCTCCTTCTAGCCTAATCAAAACACAAGGAAACAAAAAACTAGAAAAACAAAAAGCTTTATGTATCACACTTTTTATTGGACACGATACTCCTCCTTTTTGCAATGTCCTCTCACTAGGCTCCCAAACAGGCCCTCCTGAAAATTTCCTTCCTGAAAAATTCTCTCTCAAAACTCTACTCTGTGCATGCACCTACTTCTGCTGGGACACCTATTTTATACATACTATCTCAGGCAGAAAATTCCCAAACTGAAATGTACAGGCAATGTACTTTTATTCTACGGAGTTTTAAAAATTTTGAATTCCCTGTCTATGAGGTTCAAAATCCCAATTAAATTTATGGTCTTCCCCTCTTGCTCCTAGGTTGTGGTTAAATTCTTGCGGAGTCTTCACAGTGCCTAAGTTTTGGAGAAGATGTAGGCACCCGCCCACATCCCTCCTTCAGATTTTGGCATCTTCTTCCTAGTATCTGCGTGTTGTTTTCATATTTCTGTATTATTTTGCTTTTACAGAGCCACACTGAAGCTTGAGAATCTGAGGCTTTCTGTGGCTTCCCCGTACACAGAATCATTCCCTCTTTGGAGTCTTGCTACCTACTCCAGACTACTTGGAATGCAGACATTTGCTCATTACTGTGGGACCCATGGGTATTCCCTTTCTCTTAATCTTATATTTCACTTCAGAAGCATTTCCTGTGTTGTGAAATTTTTCTCAGAGGCTTAATTGGTTTAGATTTTTAATGGATTTGGTCACAGAAAAGCCAATGACTCCTAAATTCTTAAGTCCTGTCCCATCCCAATACCTGAGGCAGGAAGAAAAACATAAATGACCATCGTTCCTAAATCTGATAGCTCAGTGGATACACCCGAGGAGCTTTTAAAATTAAGAGACGCTCCCAAGCGTAACTCTACAGCATCAGAATTTGTTTTCCTGACGATCACAGACGATCAAGACAGAATTATTCCATCAGTGGTGGGCGTGGGGCGGGACTCCACTCGGCCTTCCTGTCCTCTAAAGTCTTCTAATTTTTTCCCCAGTAATCCGTCCTCCCACTCTCTTTCTTTGGCCCATCCCTCTCCTCCCAGTCTTTCCCTGCTGCCCTGCACCAACCTTTCCGCGTCCCGACCCCCAACCCCCCACCCCACCTCGCGTTTCCCGCCTCCCCCGCCTGTCCCGCTTTCTGCCCCCTCCCCTCCCACTCGCACCTCCCAGCCCTGCCTCTCTCCCGCCCGCCCCGCCCCTTCTTCCGCTCTACGTCCCTCCTAACCCATGCGCACTCTGTTCAACCTGTTGCTTCCGGCGGCCTAGGCTTACGTTTACTTTGCGCCGGAAAGAGAACCTGTGAACGCTTTCGGAATTATGGCGGGGGTGGATATCCGAGGTATAGTCTATTGCTGTTTTGTCTCTTGATTGTCTATGGACTAGTTTGGGATGTTATAGCTCGCACTTTCAAGGTTTAGGTTCCTTTGTGTGAGGTCTCAAGCTTTTTTGAGTGGTTTTTGTGGACAACGCAAGGCTGTGATCTAGCGAAACGTTGACGAGTTTTTTAAGTTCTTGAAACGTCTTTTGGAAGCGTCGGAGAGAAGGGGTTGGAAGAAGCCCTGGGCCTTGAGCTTTCAGAGCTGGAGCATTGTTCTTCACACGTACCTCTGCGACAACATTAGGGCTATTCTATTGGAGTGAAGGAATGGCCTTTAGGCAGAGGAGGGAGTGGGGTAATGAGCCAACTTGATTTGGTTCATCTCTTGGGACTTGGCATGGTGGCTGCCAAATTCTTTAGATCGCGCGCCGCGGGTCCCTGAGCATGAATCCCAAATATTTTCTATTGTAAGGTTTTTTTGTTTTTGTTTTTGTTTTGAGTCGATAATACTTTACATCGAACATGCAGCAGTTATTATGGCCAGGAGTCGTATTTTTTTCACAGCTGAACTGTAGAGGTACTCACATAATCAGTCAGTGAATAAATGTATGGAGATGCCCCCCCCCCTTAATTGCTGCTTGATCTTGGGGAGCACGTAGAGTTGTTTTTGTTTGTGTATACAGTACTTGATTTTTAAAGGGAAGTGTTTGAGCTGCCTTTTTTTATATATTAACTAGATTGGGGTCTAACACATTTATTACAAATATTTTCATTTGTAGTTATCCGGTGATCTTCAGCACTTCTGGATCATGATTTTACATACATGTCTTTCATTATAAGTGGGAGTTTCAAGTGCCTAATTTCATCACTTGCTGATTGTTAGAATGCTTGGACTATGTCAACATGTTGCCTTGCTACAGAATAAAAAAGAGAAACATTTAGTCTGTCAGACTGTTTTCAAATATTTAGTTTGTAAAATGTTTTACTTATAATTCAGATTTGTTAGGTTCATGGCAAAGACTCTAAGAGTGTGTTTGATATGTTAAAGGAACAGCAAAGAGACCAGTGTGGCTGGAGGGAAATGAGAGAGGATGTGGTAAGGAGATGAGGTCAGAAAGGTGTTGAAAGCTCTGATAAGGTCTTTGGCTTTTCCTCTGAGTAAAACGGAGAGCCGTGGGAGGGATTTCCATCATAGGAATGATGTGATCTGATTTTTTTTTTTAAGGACTACATTGGCTGCTGGGAACAGTGTAGGAGTACAAGGGTAGAATTAGGAAAACCAGTTAGGAGGCCTGAAAATGTTATTTCCTGGCCTATTGTGTATTTGGTTATTGCATGATCCAGTTATGATGAACTATCTAAATGGTCTGTACTAATTATTTGGTTATTAACATACTTTGTCTCCTCCTTTATTTTATAGCACACAAAGTACATTTTACCTTTATATAATTTTTCTCAGTTGAGTCACTTGGCTCAAAACTGCCTGTCACCTTGAATTAGGTCTGACTTCTTTGAAGATGCCTGAGGTAATGACAGTATAAGAGAGATTGAAGTTTTCAACCAGTATTGTATAGGCATTTTGACGTTCATGATTTACAGCTAGTGGTGTTCAGTACAGTCAGTGGTATGAAGCATCATCAAAGCCAATGGCCAATACAAGCTCATTTATTAAAAGTATCTAGCTCTATCATGTCTTTTTAAAAGCCATGATTTAGTTCTACTCTAAATATGAAACTGTGTGGCTGTAGTTAAGGTAATTCTACTTCCTGTTTATCCCTTAGCTTTTACATCATTATCATCTCATCTACAATAATAGCTTCCTAACTTCTCTATCCCTAATTGAGAGATTGCAAACTGGTAGCTATGGATGTGTTCTCTTGGGCATACATGTTGTTTGAAAATTTTGAATTCTTTGCCAGCATTAAGGATTTCCAATTAAAAAAAAAGTCCTTTCTAAATTTTAAGTCATATCACTTCTTCACCTAATGAAATTATCCTCTGAAGATATAATATACTTTGTATTTTTATACCTCTTTATATACATTCTCTCTGCTTGGAGTTACTTTGCCCTTTTCTCTGTGTAAGTTTCTATCTATTCTTTAACAAATCATGCTAAAACCCATCTTCTCACCCCATGAAAAATGATTTTCGTTCCCCCAGGTCCTCTGTAGTCTTGTAACACATTTCTTCATATCTTTATTTTTGAGATGGAGTCTCGCTCTGTTGCCCAGGCTGGAGTGCAGTGGCACAATCTCAGCTCACTGCAACCTCCACCTCCTGGGTCCAAGCGATTCTCCTGCCACACCCTCCCAAGTAGCTGGGATTACAGGTGTTCACCACCACGCCTGGCTAATTTTGTGTTTGTTTTTTTCTTTTTTTGAGATGGAGTTTCACTCTTGTTGCTCAGGTTGGAGTGCAATGGCATGATCTCGTCTCACCGCAACCTCCACCTTCTGGGTGCATCGATTCTCCTGCCTCAGTCTCCCAAGTAGCTGGAATTATGGGCATGCACAACCACGCCAGGCAATTTTTGTATTTTTAGTAGAGGCGGGGTTTCTCCATATTGGTCAGGCTGGTCTCAAACTCCCAACCTCAGGTGATCCACCTGCCTCAGATCCCTAAAGTACTAGTGTTACAGGTGTGAGCCACCGCGCCCGGCCAGAATTTTTTGTGTTTTTAGTAGAGACAGAGTTTCACCATGTCTTTATCATAACACTTACATCATGCTATTGCTTTCTTGCATAATCTCTTCTGTTACATCATGAGGGTATGTTGGTTAGGATCTGTGTCATCCTTATATTCATAGTGCCTACTACATTAGATGTATAATAAATGTTTGTTGGATTGGATTCTTTTTTTTCTAATTCTTTATCATTTTGTTTTCTTTCCCATAGACAATCTGCTGGGAATTTCTTGGGTTGACAGCTCTTGGATCCCTATTTTGAACAGTGGTAGTGTCCTGGATTACTTTTCAGAAAGAAGTAATCCTTTTTATGACAGAACATGTAATAATGAAGTGGTCAAAATGCAGAGGCTAACATTAGAACACTTGAAGTAAGTTATTTTAAGAAGGTAGCATTTTTACCAAATACAAGTTTTGCAATGAACAGTTCTTTAAAGCTGTGGATCATGAAGTGCAAAGTAGAATTTTAGAAGAAAAACTGGAGTTTTGTTTGGGTTTATACAAATTTGACATGCAAGATAATTATTAGTATTCACTTTTAACAGAGGTCTTTTCTGTATAACTTCATAATGTTTAATTAAATATAACAGGTTTAGATTTCGATCTGATGAGTGATTTTGGCAATGCTACTGCTATTCTCACCTAGGCAACTATAATTATTGTCCCTTTTATATCTAGTTTATATTACAAAAGTATTTGAAACAACTGTTGATATAATTTTCCTATTGTCAGCTAAATATTGAGGAGGAGATTATAAAATTAAATATCTGTCATTTTAAATGGCTTTTGTTATGGGGCAAATACAGCTATTGAGACAACTTATTGTTGTTTTTAAACATAATCTATCAGGTAAAAAAATTTGTTGGGGTGAGGATAAAGTTTTTGATGTTTTCTAGTTTGGTAGTGTATGAAGTTTTGTCTTCATGTTTATTTTTATATTTTATAAGTATTCGTAGATTTGGTCAGGAAGCATCATGACATTTTGATTGCCTTTTTGAAGCAGACACTCTTCGGTGTCCTTTCCTAACTGAAAACACTCAGGTTTAAATTTATAATACATTTTTGTAGAGAAATTTTGTTGTTTAAAAACAAACTAGTTTTACTCGACAGTCAGATTATAACACCAAACATAGGCAGTCTTAATCCTATTAAAGTGTTGCCGCATTTTTGTATAATTTGTCTTATAAAATTATTTGTAGGACATTTATAGATATTTGGATGTCTGTGTTCTGTTTTCAGTCAGATGGTTGGAATCGAATACATCCTTTTGCATGCTCAAGAGCCCATTCTTTTCATCATTCGGAAGCAACAGCGGCAGTCCCCTGCCCAAGGTAAAATGTGTAAACTTTAGGCATTGTTTTCTTTTTAAAATACCATGATTTATTTACTTCCTGACCTAACTTGTTTTTTTTTTTTATTGGTTTCTGTTTGGGGGATCCCCAAGACCACATACATGTTCAGTACTATGATGGAGGACTCCCCAGACTTAGCATATGGTTGTGCTTACAGCTGAGATTTGTTATGACAACACAGTAAGGGTACACAGCCAGATTAGTACTGGAGAAAGACATGTCAGGTGAGGTCTGTAGGAATCCATGTGCAGGTTTCCTATGCTTTCCCTCTTGCTTGTGAAGGGCCACAGAGTGTGCCCTCCATCCGGCAGTGAAATGCAGCTGCATTCAATATGTCTGCTCAAGGAAGTCCATTTGAGGTTCTGAGCCAGGGATTTTTATTGAAGGCTGGTTGTTTGGACATCCTCTGCCCACCAGATTTTTAGATTTTCCAAAAGAAATCTGGTGTCTACTACAGTCACATTGTTTGTACAAATTGTCTGCAGAGGCTGGTACAACCAGCATAACTCTCATGTAGGAAAAGTTTCAAAAGCCAAGTTCCACTAGTTGTATACTTGGATACCAGGACTCTTCCAGCATGCCCAAGGACAACTCTTCAAGCACTAACAGAGCAACTCACTGCATCAAAGCTTCCTCTTTCTGTGAGCACAGTTGGTATACCAACTGAATGTCAAGCATCCCAAGTAACTTTTTTTTGTTTTTTGACCTCTGAACTTTTTATTGGCCTCCTGCTCTTCAGAGGGTACCCTGCTTCTGCTGGCTTAATGTCTCAGAACTTTGATGTTGTTGGTCTCACACACCACTCTGCCATCCACTACCTGGCAGGTGGGGTCTTTTGGATGGTTTGCATGGAGTTGCTGCTGTCCAGGGCATCACTAAGATTGAAGTCCTGGCTGTCTTCCAGCAGGCGGCGGTAGGTGGCAATCTCAGCCTCCAGCTTGACCTTGATGTTCAACAGGGCCTCATACTCCTGGGCCTGGTGCTGCCTCTCTGCCCCAGCCTGTGCCAGCTCCAACTCCAGGTATAGCAGGATCCTGTTGAGCTGCTCCATCTGCAGGGTGTAGCAGGCCTCCACCTCCCTCAGGCTGTTCTTCAAGCTGGCCTTTAGATTTCTCATCGAGTCCAGGTCAGTCTCCAAGGACTGGACCGTACCTCTCAGCTTCGTGAGTGTCACCTCAGCAGCTCCAACCTTGGCAGACTGCATAGTGACCACTGTGGTGCTGTCCTCAATCTGCTGAGACCAGTGCTTTTCTAACTCCTCTCAGTTCTTCTGAGCCAGCTCTTCGTATTAGGCCCAGATGTCTGCTATGATCTTGGCGAAGTCCTGAGATTTGGGGGCATGTACCTTCATCGTCAACCCAGAGCTGGCAGTCTGGGCTTGTGGGCCTTTTACTTCCTGTTCATGGTTCTTCATGAAGAGTAGCTCCTCCTTGAGAGCCTCAATCTCTGTCTCTGGCTGAAGCAGAGTGACATTGGTGTCATCATTGGCCTTCCAGAGCCCATGGATGTTGCTCTCCACAGACTGAGGCATGGCCAGCTCTGTCTCATACTTGACTCTATCAGCAGCAAGATGGGCATTGTTGATCTGCAGAACAATGCAGGCATTGTCCACAGTATTTGAGAAGATCTGAGCCTTCAGGTCCTTGATAGTCTTGAAGTAATGGACCCAGTCTCTGACCTGGGGTCCCTTTTTCTCCAGGCGCTCCTGGGTTTTGCTCTCTAGCCTCCGGTTCTCGGTCTCCAGGCTCCTCACTCTGTCCAGGTAGGAGGCCAGGCTTTGAACCAGGTAGGTTCAGGCTTTGCATGGTCTCCTCCTCATTCTGGATGCCTCCCATTCCTGTCAGAACCCTGGCCATCCCGTGGCCAGGCCCCCGTACCCCAAGCTGCCCTGGAAGCTGGTGGAGCGGGACACGGAGATCCGGGAACCAGAGCCTCCGGTGCCTGCATAGACGCTGGCTGCGCTGCTGACCGGCCGGGTGCCCTAGCTGGGCGCCTGGATGGAGCCCAGGGACCAGTAGTTGGTGGAGAAGGTGGAGCGAGTGGTGAAGCTCATGCTCTCTGGGGAGGAGAGCGAGAAGACAGGACTCAGGCTTTGCTGATGATCACAATTAACTTTTCTTTTCATCTCAGTCCACTGAGTTAATTCTTTTACAAAATGCATGGTAGATACGGTCGTATCAAACTAATAGAGGATCAATTGAAAATCCTCAGTGATGCATTGAACTAAAAGCCTTGCCTGGGTTATACTACCTACTGAAAACGGGTTAGAAACAACACTGAAGAGTGTAGAGTCCAGATTTGGTTTTGAATCAAAGAGCTAGACACCTTTTCCAGTGATGACCAAAAATCGAAGACATTAGAATCAAGCCAAGACCATGGATAAAGTCATACTGAAGAGAAGATTCAAGATAGGGGAGCCAGATGGGTGTTATTCTAGCTACATCTCTCAGTTGGATACCCTCATTAAGACATTTACGGACAACCTTTAACTTGGCATTGTTTTCAGAGAATGACTTGATAAAGCAGTTATGATTCTAGAATCCAAATTTAGTTTCAAAACCAAAGATCTAGAGTCCCGGCCCAGAGTAAAAGAGAACCTTAGAACCAAGGCAGACCAGTGACAAGATAAGATTTCCATGGTGAGAGGATTCAAGGTATAGAAATTATACAAGACGGCAGTATCCTCACTGGCAGTTATCTTATTCCTTAGGACCCAGCACTGGGGCACAAAAGCAAGCTCATTGCATTTGATATCTTTACCCTGGACCCCCAGTCTGTCTTGCTTCAAGGTCTTACTACCTTAAGTAAGGTTGACTGACAACAGTCTTGGCATCTTTTGGGAACTTGTTAGAAATGCACTATCCCTACTGAATAAGAATCTAATTTTAACAAGGTCCCCAGGTAATTCAGATGCACATTAAAGTTTGAGAAGCACTGCTGGACGGCAACAGTGGGCATACTTTTTCTGAAAAGGGCCAATGACTAAATACTTGGGGTTTGTGGGCCTCCTAGTCTCTGTGACAGCGCTCAATTATTGCCATACCAGCCATAGATAATATGTAAATGATTGGATGTGGCTGTTTTCTGGTACAGCTTTACCAAAACAGTAATTGTTAAACCCTGCCTTATGGGAAAATGTCAGATTTTAGTTCTTTTTATGAGAATCTGTTTAGCAGTTTGTGTCCATAGCTGTATTTGTAAACCTTTTTTCCCACTGTTTTAGTTATCCCACTAGCTGATTACTATATCATTGCTGGAGTGATCTATCAGGCACCAGACTTGGGATCAGTTATAAACTCTAGAGTGGTAAGTGTCTTCACATTCTTTAAGCACTAAAGAAAACTTTTAATTAGCTACCTTGCTTCCAGTAATCCAACTGGAGCTCCTCTTCCTTGTGTAAGTTGCTATAAAGTATTGACTATTAGAATGTCTTGAACTTTGGTTACTATGAGCCAAGTCAGTGCTCAAAGTATATTTCATAGTCTCAATTATATAGTAATTTAGGTTCTGAAAAATGGGTTCTGTCTTTGCATATGTAATATTTTGTGAGTATTTACTTTGGAAATTTTTGTTGACCTAATGAGAAATTTAGAATTTATTTTCCTTTTTCAAGCTTACTGCAGTGCATGGTATTCAGTCAGCTTTTGATGAAGCTATGTCATACTGTCGATATCATCCTTCCAAAGGTTATTGGTGGCACTTCAAAGATCACGAAGAGCAAGGTAAGTAGAACATCCAGACCCTCCTAACACACTTTTTGATCCTCTGAGAATGAAGCTGTTTTCTTTAGGAAAGTGGCTGTTGATCTTTTCTAAGTGTGTTTCACTTTTTTCATGGGATGCTGGCTTTGTTGCAGCTGAGATTCATGTAACTAGATGTATAATAATAGCTTTCACATAGAACAGATGCACGTTCACTTTGTTAGGTAACTGGTAGTCTTAGTCAAGGTGATTGAAGGTTTGAAAATATTTGGGGCCAGGTGCAGTGGCTCACTCCTGTAATCCCAGCACTTTGGAATGCCAAGGCAGGTAGATCACCTGAGCCCAGGAGTTCAAGATCAACCTGGGCAACATGGTGAAACCTGGTCTCCACAAAAAGAAAAAAAAAGAAAAAAAAAAAAAAAAAAAATAGGAGAGACAGTGACGTCGAATGAGCAGAGATGATATTCCTTACTTACCTGACTGCTGAGTTATCTTGGAATCTGGAACTCTTTATTCCTCCAGTCTTCAAAGCAGAGGAGATGAGAGAGATTGCTTTTTAGAGCCCTATCCCTAGATGGCCAGTCTGTTTTCTGATCTTTCCATCTCTCCACCTCTTGTGGCTCCAGGTTCTCTAAGTTTCCATCTGATCTGCTACTGTCTTCATCATGTTTTACTGTTCAACTACCTCCAGAAATGTGCCTGTAACAGCATACTTGTATTCTCCATTTCCTTGTCTGAGAAATAGCAACTCAGAATAAATTGTTGAGGGAAACATAGTGTTTGTATAGAATTCAGACCTGTATCTTCTTAATAGTAGGTATAAGCAGGAACATTTGATGAAGGAAAGTTTGCCTTTGTTGACTAAAATTGGCCCAATGGCTCTTTTCCCCTACCATAACCAAGTGTTCGGAGTAACACTTATCTGGAACCCTTCGCTTGGTTACGGTTTCCCAATACACCTCCCTCCCAAGGGCAAATCCCGTATGTGATTAACTTCAGAATTTCTCTTTCAGATTCTGTTCTTTTTTGTCTTCATGATTTTGTGTTTTGTTATTTTTTTTTTCAGTGAATTACAGTCTTAATAATTGAATATGGTAGATTGAGTTTGTGAGACCTGCATTTCCATTTGTTCCTAGTAGGTTTTGTGGGAAAATACCATTTAATACACTTAAAATACACAAAGGTAATTTCAAACCAATAATTTGGATTTTGATTTAGGTAATTTTGAAAAACTTTAGCTTTAAAACTCTTATGGTTGTGCATGCTTATATACCAAAACTGAAGTATCTTTAAAATACATATGTATCAGCTTAAATGTTAGAATTTGACTTCAGTTAAGAGGGAGAGTTAACAGCACTTCTGTATATATGCTGTGTTTACCTTATTTTGGGAATTATCTTTGGTCTAGCAGCTATTAAAAATAATGAAGTTTGGGTATATTCATAGTGGATAAAGATTTGTAAAATATGAGACACCAAACTAAGTAGGCAATGTTTTGATTTGGACTTTGTATTTAATAGATAAAGTCAGACCTAAAGCCAAAAGGAAAGAAGAACCAAGCTCTATTTTTCAGAGACAACGTGTGGATGCTTTACTTTTAGACCTCAGACAAAAATTTCCACCCAAATTTGTGCAGGTAATGAGAATATGTGTGGTTAATATTGATTTGACACTTCTTTATGGCATATATATTTATTTTTAATTGAGAACCGTTTCAGATGTGACCTAAAATTACGATTTTCCTCATTAGTTAAAAAATGATCTCTGTATTAAAGGAAAGGTTTCTAAAGACTTAATGGAAGAAATAGGTAAATGGAATGGAATTAACACTGTGTTTCTTACTGAATCTTCACAAACTATGAGGACTGCATATAGATCATATTCTCATTCAAAAGGTTACTGAAAGTGTCACACGTGGTAACAAAACTAGAATATGAAACTCATGCTCTTTTTACTCTACGTGCCACCTTCCAGCCTGATGTAGTAGATGTCTGAACAATCTAAATGATAGAATGATTAACACTTGTGTAACAAAAAGAACAGAACATCTGAGGTAGAGTGTTTGGCATAATAAACAGAGGAGACAGGAGTGATTAATAGAGATATACTATATTGGGGTTTTAAGTTATATGAATCCACTGTGTGATTTGGAGGGGCAGGGAGATTTCTAATAGCAATAGCAAATCCACCTGCCATTCTAGTAAATGAGCTTTTGGAGTGAAGTAGATATGGAATGGAATCGATGAATGTGCTGGTCTCATGGCTAGTCTCAATTCTTCTGGACCTTTGCAGTGTACATACAAGATCATATACCTCTTTTTTGTTAGGAGCTCCTTAAGGGATTTTCAAGGGAAATTTTAAACTAAATGAAATTTTTTACATGAGATGAATTTAGAACAGGCCTCCCCTTCCCTCTTCCCTGACTGTGCTGTAGTGAGAGATAGGGGCTATTGGAATTGTGATGTGGTGGTGAAGAGAGCAGAAGACGCAAGATGGAACTCAGGACAGGAAAGCCAGTTTAGAGGAATCTCATCAACTGCACTTGAAGATGGAACATTGTCTGTTGATAAATAAATAAATAAATAAATTATAGCTGTGCGTAGGGTGATAAATGACCTCTACAGAATGTAAAAAGTTAGGTGTAGTTGACCATTTATTTGGTGAGTACATAGTGCATGCTAGGTAGGCCAGGGGAAGACATCTAGACATGTGCTGTCCAGTACGGTAGCCACGAGGCACGTGTGACCATGAGCATTTGAAACACAGCTAGTCCAGATTGAGTTGTGATGTAAGTGCAATATCCATACTGGATTTCAGACTTGTATGAAAAAGAATACATGTAAAATATCTCAGTAGTTTAAAAATATTGATTATGTGTTGAAATAATATTTTGGGTATATTTGGTTAAATAAAATACATGTTTCTTTTTAAAAATGTGACAAAATTTAAAATTACATGTGTATCTTGCATTTGTGGCTCACATTTCTTTTGAACAGTCCTCATCTAGAAAATGATAATAGAACATGCAAAACTGGAAACATGAGTTAGTGAACATATGTTCAGAAACCAGAAAAATCCTCTGAGGGCTTACTCTGTGTTTGTGGAGGGGAAGAGTAATGGAAGATGAGACTTTAAAAATAGATTAAGGTCAGTTGAGAAGGATTTTATATGCAATGCAAAGAAGCTGGGATTTAATCCTGGAGTCCTATGTTTCTTCTCTATGTTAAACTTATTACTCATTACCACTCCCATAAACGTAACAGGCCTCCAGATGCATTCAAAATTATTTTAAGTTTTAAAACAATAGCTATCATAACCAAAGACAGACCAAACCAGGGGAAATTTTGTACAGTCTTTTTCAAGTATATACTCTCTAGGAGTGTATTCTCACTGAAATCTCCTCTACCTCATCTTCAAGTGACTAGCTGAGAATGATTGCTGATGGTAGTAAGGACCCATTGGATATTTAAAAGTAGTTGCAAGGGAGTAATATAGTCAGTTTTGTGTTTTAGGAATGTAACTAATAACAGGAGGGTAGGGGATGCTTAGGAAATGACATGTGAAGTTTGGAGTCAGGGCACTTAAATTGTGGAAAGCTTGAATTAATTCTGTGGCCATAGGATAGAGAGGACACAGATTCAGGAGGTATTTACAGAGTTAGGATTGCTTTAATTTGGTGGTTGGATTTGGAGAGATTGGACAAAGGGTGATTCTGGGGTTTCAGGCCTAGAGTTAGGCTAGGTATTGTCAGCTAAAATTCAGAATACAGGGAAAAAAACAGATTTTGGTTGAAGTACAGTTGTTAGGGATTTGGTTTTCATTAACCGACCTACAGAACATTCAGTAGTTTGCTATTGTATTTGAGTCCTGGGGTATTCAGTGAAAGACAACTTTTTATTTTTCCCCCCTGGCTAGGGGTGCTGTCTTGATTCTTGTTTGCTGTCCTGTCCTGGTGCGCTAGGCTAGACATTGTAGAAAGCTCAAAGACTCTCTTGATTCTTAAAATAAAAACTCTTTACTTTATAGAAAAGTATGGTAATCTTAACATGAAAGCAGAGAGACTAATTAAAAATAAAACCCCCCTATACCCTTTAGTCTGCCTCAGCAGTTATCAAAATGGCCAAACTTATTTTGTCTCTTTTCTCCCTACTTCCTCCCAATTATTTTTAAGCAGACTGCAGATTTCTTATCATTTCAGTGAGTGTTTTACCTTTTTCTTTTAAAGGTTTAGCCACATTCATACTTACATCATCATATTCCTGAACCCCACATTTCTTTTACCATCCAAGAGCCAAAAACCAACTCCCAAAGATAGAGTATATCCAGCTGTGTATAACATAACTAGGAGAAATATGGCTTTCTCTAGAACTATTAATAATCTTTTTGCTTTTCCTACCAAAAATTTTTCCAGCCTCAGATCTAGAGAAGAAAATAATCTACTTCAAGTCTCCCAGAACTTCTTTTAGCTCATATTAACTCCTCTTTACCCATTGGGTCCTCCATAACTGTTTGTAGTCCAGATAAGGATACAGCAGCTATTCCTACTTACCAATTTTATCGAGCAGTTGGGCTTGTGGTACCCAAGAATGTTGCTCCTATAAGGGATGCTCAAGAGAATATTGGAGAAGTCCTGTCTGCTTCTTTGAAGCTCTTTTTTCCATATTTTAATATCGTTACTGCTGGAAGTTGCACTAATACTGATGTGATGAGAGTTTCGGTCTTTGGAGCCTTTTATGAGGACTGTCTTTTTATTGCTGTTTTTAGAAGCTGCTAGAAGGGTATTTATTTCACCGAGGATTATCTAAACCAAAGCCACCTGATTAAATTTGCTCCAAGAAGCACCCTTGTTATATATCCCCATCTCAAACCATGTTCTACTAGTCTGGCAGGATTTACTAGAAAAGATTAGACAGTGTATTATGTTGGGTAAATAATGACATTATTCCAATGTCCAAATATAGTTCAGTGTCCAATGTAGTTTAAATGATTCAGTGCTGACAGTAGAAAAATCCCCCCTTTCAAATTTTTTACTTTCTTCAATGTTCCTCCCTATGTTTCGTCTCCTATTTTAAAGAAAAACAATTTGTTCCCTCAGAATTACTTTAGACATGTTTAAGTATTGATATTTTCACAAGATAATGTGATATGTGGCTTTGTTGGGGGTTCTTATGACAACTCCTGTAATTGGAGATTGCTAGCAGGATTCAAAGGACTCAGCATGTAGTTGTACTCAGCTAAGATTCATTGCTATAATACAGTAAGGATGTATAGCCAGATCATAAGGGAAAAGGACACAGCAGAGTGGAAGAATCTATGTGCAGTCTTCCTTATATTTTCTTCTTCCCTTAAGAAGTTACACAGAGTGCACTGTTCTCTCAACAGTGAAAATGCAGAATATGTGATATTTCTTCCCAGGGAGATCCATTAGAGACCTGGTACCCAAGGTGTGTTTTTGGAGTTGGGGGAGCGCTTCATGCAGGTACCCTCTATCTAGCACATACCAAAATTCCACAACCTCTGAAGAAATCAGATATTCAGCCTAAACTGCATTGTTTGTACAGTCTAGGCACAGTGAGCCACTATTATCAGGGAATGGTGGGAACCCTCCAGAAATCCAAGTTTCTAGACACTAGCCAAGGGCCAACCTTGCAAGCAGGACTTTCTAAGTATAGCAGCCTCAGGCCTTCTGTGGTAACCTTTTTATTGCACAGTGGATAATAATATGAAGCTCAGTTTTGGTCTTGTTAAGTGTAAAGATTCCCAGGACTTGCAGTTGGAGTAGGATAGTTGGCAATTGTCAGCATGAACCTGGAACGTATAATATGAGAAAATTTTGTAGTTGTTAGGAGTGGGAATATGTAAGAAAGCCTAGGGAGGGCATGTAAATCCAGAAAGATTCAGCAAACAGATGGAGGCATTAGAAATGAAGAGACTGCTTTTTTCTTCTAAGATGATATGGAAGTACTAAGGTATTTTAAATATATATATATGTGTATATGTATATAAAGTTATAAGTTTAAAGGTAGATGGTAAGGAAGTTGGTGGTGTTGGCATCCTGGTTTTTTTTGTTGTTTTTAAACATGGGAGACAGTGTCATCGGATGAGAATGAGGGGTAGAAGAAGACAGGAGTGTTGTAGAGCATTTAACTTGGGGAATGGGGCAAAGGGGATGACAGAGCTTAATCAAGTGAAAGAATTGCTCTACGGAGTGAAGGACCTGACTTTATTTCTAATCTTTTTTTCCTTATCTTTTTTTCCTATAGATTGGTTTTTAATAATAGACTCATCAGAAATCTCTTTTTCCTCCAAATTTCCCATGCCTGCCAACTTTAAAAGTCATGGTTCATCCATACTTCATTCTCCCTTCCCATAATTCATACCCATTAAGGAAATAAGACTCTGGAGTATTGGAAGACTTCATTATTTCTTCCCATTGGATTCTACTGAACTGCTTTTTATAAAGCACTGTAGCCTGGGTGTGGAGGTGGAAGTCCTTGTTAAATGTTCAAGTATTTTTATGGTTGGTTGACTATCTTGTTCTAGTTTTTGATTTGTGTCTTTTCTGGAATGGGGAATAAGAAACAGACAATGATAAATGTACTTTATAGTACATAAATAGTAGCTTTTCTTCACAAAAGTCATTTGAAATGTAATTTTCATTTTATTAATATGACATTAAGAAGAAGAAACTTTGCCAACTTGACCTGTTTTCTTCTTTTTCCTCTTCCTCCCCCTCCCTCTTTTCTAAAAAATTATAGCTAAAGCCTGGAGAAAAGCCTGTTCCAGGTATGGTTCATCTAATATTACGCTTGAAATAAGATCAAACAGCTTGTAAATCAATAACTATAGCATGTGAAATGAGCCGCGGTCATTTTGTCCTTCTAGAGCTGGGGCTGGGCCTCACTGGAAGAAGAATTGTCTTGGTTCACACATAAAATAACACTAATGGTAGCTGATGAGCTGAAAAAAGAAAAAAAGTCTCATAATGTTTTAAGAAAGTTTACAGGTTTGTGTTGGGCCACATTCAAAGCCATCCTGGGCCGCATGCTGCCCGTGGGCCACGGGTTAGAGTCTCCCATTGTAGTTTTTTACTCTTAATCTTTGAGATGTGCTGAACTGTCAGCAGATGGTGCCATTGTGGTAGTGATTGTGGTAGTGAAAAGATGAACTGGGAGGGAGAAAGTAGGTATTGAGGAGATATGAGGAAGCCACCGTGATTCGAGGTTTCTTCTTCAAATCTGTATTTTTATATAATGTTGTTTTCTGTTACATTACTGAAAACAGGTGTTGAACCATCATGGTACTGGGTTAGAATAATTATATATCTTGTTTTTACATACTGTCTTACTTAAATGCTATGTAGTTTTGTCTAGTATCATTAATTTCCTTGAGTTATCAGGTTGTTAGGTTTGTAACTGGGTTCTTGTATACATCTGCCTATGGAAACAGCTAGATCTAGAACTTGAGATAAACAGTTAAAAATGAATTTGAAAATGTGAACCGTTCATACTAACCATTGTTTGAATTTATCTCATTCCCTCCACCCGTGTCTCCCTCCCCAAAAAATCTACTTTTGATATCTAGTGGATCAAACAAAGAAAGAAGCAGAACCTGTACCAGAAACTGTAAAATCTGAGGAGAAGGAGACCACAAAGAATGTACAACAGACAGTGAGTGCTAAAGGCCCCCCTGAAAAACGGATGAGACTTCAGTGAGTACGGACAAAAGAGAAGCCTGGAAGACTCCTCATGCTAGTTATCATACCTCAGTACTGTGGCTCTTGAGCTTTGAAGTACTTTATTGTAACCACCTTATTTGTATGGGATGCACTTATTCTTTGAAAGGATATTAGGCCGGGCGTGGTGGCTCACGCCTGTAATCCCAGCACTTTGGGAGTCTGAGACGGGTGGATCACTTGAGGTCAGAAGTTTGAGACCAGCCTGACCAATATGGTGAAACCCTGTCTCTACTAAAAATAAAAAAATCAGCTGGGCGTGGTGACGGGCGCCTGTAGTCCCAGCTACTTGGGAGGCTGAGACAGGAGAACTGCTTGAACCCAGGAGGCGGAGGTCGCCCTGAGGTGATCATCACACCGTTGCCCTCCAGCCTGGGCAACAGAGCAAGACTTCGTCTCAAAAAAAAAAAAAAGAAAAGATATTATTCCCATCATGATTTCTTGTGAATATTTGTTATATATCTTCTGTAACTTTTCCTCTCCTGGACTTCTGCAACCTACACACGTATTTACTGGTAGATATGTTTAAAAGCAAAATAAAGGTGTTTGTATATATTGCTTCATCGTGACTTTTTTCTTCATCATGACTGATATTTTTCAGATGCACTTTGAAGACACAAAGGATGTTCAAGTAGTAACTAAGCATTTTTTTTTTGTTAAGTTACATAATCCTTAGTATTAAAATAAACAGTTGCTGACATTTTGGAAGATGAAGGAAAAACCTCACCAATACCATTACCCTATAAATACTGTAACAACGTTGTGAGTTTTAATCTTATTCTACGTGTAGATACTTTTTTTTTTTCAATAAAGAAAAGGAATTTATTTTTTTTTAAGTTATGGAGGCTGAGAAGTCTAGCATTGAGTGGCTGCATCTGGTGAGGGCCTTCTTGCTGGTAGGAAGTCTGCAAAGTCCCTAGGCAGCACAGGGCATCTCATGGCAAGGGGACTGAGTGTGCTTGCTGCATGTAGATGCTTTTAAAACTACTTTAATCATTCCTTTCATGCAATTTTACTTTATTATATCTGTTGTTAGCTTTCCCCCATGTTTATATAGTTTTTATAGACTGTTTTAGTGTCTGAATTTCTGTAAATGATTGTATCTCAGTTTTCTTTCTGTGTTATATTTGGGATTTTTTTCTCAATTTACATTATTTTAAATAAGACTGCTGTGATTATATCTTTGTATAATGCCTTTTCAATATTTGGTATTTATTTCCTTAGGATAGAGTTCCAGAAGTGGAATCACTAGAGTCTGCATTTTTATTGCTCTTAGTCCGTATTGCTAAGTTGTTCCTCAAAAGGTTGGACTAGTGATCACTCAAACAGCAAAGTTGGAAAGTATGTATCAGGTTTTCTGGAATTGCTACCACTAAATTTTGTCATTTATGTTTTTAGTGTTAATTAAGTAGCAAAAGTGGTATTTTAGTATTTAAAGTGGTTGAAGAATTTGTTATCTTTGTTTTCTGCTTTTGTGAAATGTCTAATTTTATGTATTGTGTGAGATTTTTGTCTTTCAACTTCTTATTTTGACATAATTTCAGGCAAATAAAAGTTGTAAGAATAGTACAAAGAATTCCTATATATACCTTTTACCCTAGTTCTCCATCTGTTACCATTTTTCTGTATTTTAGTCTTTATTTTCTTTGTCTCTCTCTTCTAACTCTTGCTCTCCTGTTACTTGCTGTTTCTCTCTTTCTCCCTCTCTCTCTCAATCGTATTTATGTTTCACCAGTGGTGCAAATAATGTCATTTACAACAGAAGAAAATCCCGAGTTGTGGGCTACATTTAGTTGTCCTGTCTTTTCAGTCTCCTGTAACCTGGAATAGTTCTTTAATCTTGCTCATTTTTCATAACCTTGATATTTGAAGAGTTGAAGCCATTCATTTTGTGGAATGTCTCTCAATTTGGGTCTGTTTGATATATCCTCATGATGAAATTCACCTCATACATTTTTGTGAGGAATGCCATAGAAAAGATGCTTATGGAGGCACATGCTGTCTCTTTGCTCCATTTCTGGTGATGTTAGCATTTATCACTTGGTTAACGTAGTGTCTATAAGGTTACTCCACTGTAAAGTTATTTTTCCTTTTGTAAGTTATAGGTATCCTGGAATATTTTGAGGCTCTGAGTGTCCTGTTATTTCTCAAACTTTTACCCACTGGCTAGCCTCCATCAGTAAGTCTTGCCTGAATCATTTATTACTCTGATGTTTGCCAAATGGTGATTTTCTGATTTCATTGTTCTATGTTATTAGTTAGCTTTCTGCTATAAACAGCTTTCATTTCTCCCCCCTTTTTAAAAATATCATTGTGGACTCCTGGATTCTTATTTACTTCAATGCGTGTATTTCCTTACTATCATTCATATTGATGCCCAATTTGTCTTAAATTGGAACAGTGGGAGCTACTTCAAGCTGATCCTGTGTCCTTTTGGTATGACTTCATCATCCATTGAGTGATTTCTTTGCTCTTTAGCACGGTAAGATACGCCAGGCTCATTTCAACTCTGGAGCCAGGCACTTCTGTTTCTTTTAGTGGAGAATCGCATTTGGAAATCAAAATCTGTGTGCTGGGTATGTTCATTGCTACTGGGGTGTCATTGCTTCTAGGCCTTTTTAACTGACAGGGTCAGTAATGGAGTAAAACTCACTGTAATCATGTAACTTATGTGGTTTAAGAAATTGAACTTTGCTAGTACCCCAGAAGCACCTTTATGTCCCCTCCTGATTTTAACGCTTAATCACCTTCATCTTCAGTTTTATGGTAATCACTTGTCTTCACAGTTTTACTGTGTAACCATGAATCCCTAAATAAATGTTTAGATTGCCTATTTTAAAAATTTAATATAATTGGTCAGTGTGTGCATTTCATGTATGGCTTCTTTTATGTCTGTGAAGTTCATCAGAGTTGTTTCATTTGTAGTTATTTTAATTTCTGTGTAGTATTATATTGCATGAATATATTACAACTTTAGATTTCATTCTAATGGTGATAGACATTTGTATTGTTCGTAATTTTTGGTGATTAAAATTGCTTTTATGAATATTCTATTTTTATGAACTTATGAAATTTCAGGAATATTCCAATTGTATGAATATTATATTGCTTTTTGGTATATGTTATGGGCTGAATTGTGTCCTCTTCTTCAAACAAGGTGTACAGAAATCTTAACCCCTGGTACCTTAGAATGTGACCTCATTTGAAAACAGGGTCATTGCAGATGTTATGGGTTAAAACGAGGCCATACTGGAGTCGGGTGGGCCTCTTATCTGATATGACTGGTGTCTTTATAAAAGGAAAGCTGTGTGAAGAGACAAAGGGAGAATGCCATGTGCAGATGGAGGATCAGAGTGATGCATCTACAAGCCAAGGAATGCCAGAGATTTCCGGCCAGTCACCAGAAGCTAAGAGGCAAAGAAGGATTCCCCTACAGGTCTCAGAGAAAGCATAGCCCATAACCCTACTGACACTTTGATTTTGGATTTTCAGCTTCCAGAATTTTGAGACAATAAATTTGTTGTGTAAGTCCCCCAGATTGTTGTACTTTGTTAGGGCAGTTCTAGGGAACTAATGCAGTGTACATAGGCTCATTTTACTATTTTATTCAAATTGCTGGCTCACGAAGCTGCCTTTATTCAGTTTTAGTTGATGACGTGAAAATACTTACCGAAGTGGTTATACCAGTTTATACTCCAGCCAGCAGGGTGTAAGGCTCCAGTTGTACCACTCCTTTGTTGACCCTTGATATTGTCAAGGAAAAATTTAGTCATGTGTTAAGTGGTATCTTTTTTGGGCTGCAATTTACATTTCCTGGTAATTGGTGATGAACATTTTTTCATATGATTTGGCTACTTGGATACTCATTTTTGTGTTTTCAGGTCTTCTGCACATTTTTTTCTATTGGTTCATCAACGTGAAGTACATTCATGTTGTACTTTCACTTCACCATTATTCATCTCCAGAACTTTGTTATCCCAAATGGAAACTCTGTACCCATTAAACAGTAACTCCACTTTCCCTTTTTCCTCCATCTCCTGGCAACCACCATTCTACTTTCTGACATTGACTAGGTACCTCATATAAAATCATACAGTATCTGTCCTTTGACTTAGCATGATATCTTTAGGGTTCTTCTGTGTTGCAGCATGTGTCAGAATTTCCTTTTTAAGGCTGAGTAATATTTCAGTATCTGTGTGTGTGGACACACATCTTGTTTATTCATCTTTCAGTGAACATTTGAGTTGTTTCCACCTCTTGGCTATTGTAAATAATGCTTCTGTGAACACTGATGTATAAATATCTATTTGAGTCCCTGCTTCCAATTCTTTTGTGTATGTATGCAGAAGTGGTAATTCTATTTCTAACTTTGAGGGACTACCATGCTGTTTACAATGGCAGCTGTACCATTTTACATTTCAACCAGCAATCCCTGAGGTCTCCAATTTCTCCACATCCTCACCAATTCTTGTGATTTTCTGTTAATAGCTATACTAATAGGTGCAGGCTGGGATCACACTGGTTTTGATTTGCAGTCCCTAATGACTAGTGATATTAAGATTTTCATGTGCTTTTTGGCTATTTGTTTAGTTCCTTTTGAAACATGATCTATTCAAGTGCTCTGAACATTTTTTTAAATTTAATTTTTTTAGACTGGATGTGTGTGTGTATTTTTTATTATTGTTTATTTTTGTTGACTTTGTCAAATATCGATTGTGGATGTGTGGCTTTATTTCAGGGGCCTCTGTTCTGTTCCATTGGTCTATGTGTCTGTTTTTGTATGAGTACCATGCTGTTTTGGTTACTGTAGCCTTGTAATGTAGTTTGAGTTTGGATAATGTGATGCCTCTGACTTTATTCTTTTTGTTTAGGATTGCCTTGGCCAATCCATGAGTGTGGAATGCATTTCCATTTATTTGTGTCATCTGTGATTTCTTTCAGCAATGTTTTGTGGTTCTCCTTATAGAGAACTTTCACCTCTTTGGTTGGGTGTATTCTTAGGTATTTTGTGTCTATTATAAAGGCAATTGCATTCTTGGTTTGGTTTGCAGCTTGAACATTATTGGTACATAGAAATCCTACAGATTTTTGTATGCTGATTTTGTATCCTGAGACTTTGCTTAAATTATTTGTTATGTCTAGGAGTCTTTGGCAGAATCCTTAGAGTTTTCTAGGTATAGAATCATATTGTCACTGAAGAGAGATATTTTGACTTCCTTTTTTCCCTATGTGTATGCCTTTTAATTCTTTGTCTTGCCTGATTGCTGTGGCTAGGACTTTCTGAACAGGCACTTCCAAAAAGACGTACAAGCAGCCAAAACAACAACAACAACAAAAAATGCTTAATATTACTAGTCATCAGATAAATGCAAATTAAAACCACGACGAGATACCATCTCATGTCAGAATGGCTATTATTAAAAAGTCAAAAAACAGATGTTGGCAAAGATGTGGAGAAAAGGGAATACTTACACACTGTTGGTGGGAATGTAAATTATTTCTGCACCTGTGGAAAGTAGTTTGGAGATTTTGCAAAGATCTAAAAATAGAAGTCCCTTT